AAGTATCCCCCCCCTCGTGGCTGATTTTGACGATCATTTGGTTTGTTGGTCATGTAGCTATTTGCTATCTGGTGCAGTTCTATTCCCAATGTCTTTTTTGTCCTTTTATTCGGTTCCACAGCAGACGCCCCTGTTCATCTTCTGACGTACGTCACCTTTTTTTCCTTAAAGGTCACGTTCTGCGGAAGGATCCCTCCCACCCAAACGGCATGCGAAACATCAGCACCACCTACCTTCAGTTCTCACCCGATGGATCAGATATCCTAGCTAATCTCGGAGGAGACCATATCTACCTCTTCTCTACGACTGGACGAAAGAACGCCTTCAACTGTCCCGTCTCACCTGATGTGCCCGATTCCCTCTGGTCTTCCGGACCATCGAAGTCGAACAGTTCGGCGCCATCGATAGTCCAAAAATGCGTCCACTCCGACGGTGAAGCCTTCCGTACGTTCAGGAGTATGAGAAATAGGAAATACGGCTATTTTTAGGCGTAACTGTTGTTGCGGAAACTTGAGAAAATGTCTTTAAAAAGGGTCGGCGTACGCCCTTGTTGTGAAATGGGCATAGTTTTCAGTGAAAAGCAGTCCTCAACCCCTTCATCCAACACGCGAGGGAAGGACAAATCTTTTCTTCACCGAGAGGGCTTTTTTTCTGCCAAGGACCTCCGGACGTAGTTTGTAGATCCTATCATCGAACAGTTTGCCAGTTTTCAGCGTTAACTCGCAAAACGTCTTCGTTTGCCTCCGCAAACCACCAGAGGGCGAACTGATTTGAGAGGAGTATGCATAAAAAGGTAGCCTCTGGTGGAGTGTGGGCTGTCGTGCCTGTAGACACCAACCTCGCGTGTTTAAGTAGAACTCCGTTGGTAGCCTCCCCTACTGTTTGGTTTATTTTTGGTGAGGGCTGCAATGATGCCGAAAAATAGCAACCGTTGCTAGGTGCTGGGTAACTGCTCAGTATTGTTTTTTTTTTAATTATATGCTCTTGATTCTGATCTGTCCACATTTCTTTATGTCGAGCCATTGTTAGCGCGGCTGTCTGAGTGGCTCCGCAATTAGACTAGATTGGGGGATGTTCGGTGCCTACTAAGTAGTTGGAAACTTAGACCACTTCCCGTCCATCTGTTTCTG